TTGGCATGAAGCCGTTACAGGCCAATCGACCTCATCCTAAGAATTTGGACTCCTCGACCAAATTTGGAGACAAAATAAAGATGGGAACTACGGATCTCCCTGCTAAAGTGAAACATTGCTGACACTTTCAAAAAGAAACCAAGTATTTAAATGGCGAATGGCAAGGTCATATCTCTCATCCATGTCAGTTGCCACTCGCCTCTCTTTTTTCCCTCAGTGTGCTTTCATCTCTGCCGGATGAAATTCCTTATCTGGAGGGCTGGTGGGTGCTATAAAAATCCGAGTGAGAAGCGAGCTTGCCTCATCGCGTCACCTAAGATTTAGTCTCGAACCGTTGTGCTGTGGGCTTCTTGTGCCATCTCGGGATCATCAGAAATGGATTCGCACCAGTGAACTGATTGGCTTAAAATAGACTTCATGGCAGAAGGGGACAGGAAGAGAAGGAAAATAATCAATAAAAGGAAAAAAATAGACTAGAAGTATACCTTCCACCAAATATTGTGTCCTCCTTTTAGCTCTTGAAGGTATTACTCTTGGTCTTTTAGTCCAAGGTATTTTATTCCCTAAGGGACTTTTCTCCAAAGTAAACTTAGCATCTCCTTAGCATCCATACGGGCGAGGAAGGATCGGGTCTTTGGCTTCATTTTTGGAAGATCATTCAGAGGAATGCAGGAAACCCAATTTCCTGCTAAACAGACTAGTTGCAGTCCGAAATGAGGCCTAATCGGAGCCGACGAAGGGCAACTTAGGACAAAATTGGGCATCCTACTATGGATCACTAATTTCCACCAATATTGGTCCGATCTACTGTGATGTGGACATCTCCTTTTATGGAAACATCAGTGAAAGGCTTTGTGGTTGCGGAGAGTGCGCGTATCAAGGATCAAGGATTTGTGGAATTTATGGAAGGAATGTGTGGAGGGACTTTTATAGTTAACTTGTCTTTAGACAAATTAACTATAAAAGTCCCTCCAAACATGGTTGTCGAGGCTCTTTCTGAGAAGTTGACAAGCGAGGAGCGTACCGCATTTCTGATCTTTTTGCAAGTCTTATTTCGACATTGGTAAGCAGGCAGGTAATTGCAACTTCTCTGTTCGTTCGCTGACTGAGGACAATAACACAAATTCCAGCTGCTGTGTTTCGGTGTTATTGGTATCTCTTTCTTCGCATTTCCCTTGGAAATGAAAATTGCTTGCCTTGTAAACGTGCCGGAAAATTCAGGAAGTTAGTTGGCTGGAGGCCTTTGTTCTCCAAGGGATAAGATTCAGAGACTCCATCTTATTTTGCTCCAGTTTAAATTGTAATTGCAAATCGCTACTTATCCTCAAGTGGTCAATCTTCAGCAAAATGTTATTGAGTATTTTATTGATGACATTTTGGAGGATGAAACATTTCTAATTTTGACAAACTCGAGGTGGAATGATATGGAAGCATTTTTTGCAGCAGCTGTTGAAGAAGAGTCTCAATTAGTATGATTGAGGGAGGTATGATTCAAGCGGTGTGAATAAGGAGCATGCGATCCCTTACGAAAATGTCTTATAGGATTCCTATATATTCCTAAAGGAATATATAGGAATCCTATAGGAATCCTATAGGAACCTAAAGGAATCCTATAGGATCCTATATGCCCCTTAGACTTCAGTTTGGGACCTATAGAGTTCCCTATAGAACCTATAGAGTCCCCTATTGAACCTATAGAGTTCCCTATAGAACCTATGGATACCCCTATAGAACCTAAGGGGGGTCCCCATGAGGCCAATATGNTGCTGCTTTAATATTTTAGGCGTTGGTTGAATATTCTCTTCAAATCTGAACACTTTTCAAGTTTAAATTTCTTCACAACTATGAATCTTTGATTAGTTTCTGTACATTCATGAGATAACGTGATTCATCTCCTTTCCATTATCCTGTGTATCTACATTTATTTGTAACACGATATTGCAATTCAATTATTAGGTTATTAGATAAATCATATACATCAGAATGTCCACGAACCTTGACACAGAATCCAAGATGATATGGGCTCCCAGAAATTGTCATGACTCTTCCAAGAAGCTTCTTTGCCTTTCCTTTGCAGGCACCTTTGCCCCGCTGGGTCAACTCAATGAAATCACCATGAGGAACAACAAAGGGCTTAACATGACCGTCGTGGCCAAGATCAGCTCTAGGTTGTCAAATCTCACCCTGGCTGGAAACGACTTCGGTACGATCCCAAAAGGATCGTTTCCTAAGTTGTCAGATTTACAACGTCTGGACCTCAGTAATTGCAATCTGAAATCGATCGAGAACGGTGCCTTCTCCACTTTGACATCCCTGAAATATATGGACCTGTCTATGAACAAACTGGAGATCGGTTCCGACACGATTTTCACGGGTCTGAAAACTTTGGACTCCCTATACCTTCGCAACAACACCATCAGATTCGAAGGTGCCAAGTCACCTTTCAAAGACCTCAATGGACTCAAAACTCTGGATTTGAGCGGGAACCTCATCACACTCCTGTCCTACAATCTTTTGATGGGTATGAATAGTTTGCAGAATCTGCTCTTGACAGGTAACAATATCCGAGCCTGGAACTCGGCCGTCCTGGGAGCTAAGGCTTCTCTGGAAATCCTCAGGCTGGGCCAAAATGACTTGTCAGAGGTCACAAAGGTCATGCTGACTGAAATCTGCTCTTGACAGGTAACAATATCCGAGCCTGGAACTCGGCCGTCCTGGGAGCTAAGGCTTCTCTGGAAATCCTCAGGCTGGGCCAAAATGACTTGTCAGAGGTCACAAAGGTCATGCTGACTGACTTGAAGAAAGTTAAGAAAATGGATCTCTCTGAGAACAAGTTCCAGTGCAACTGTCAGATCTACGATTTCTACGGGTCAGTATTCTCGACATAACCCACGTGTTGAAGCTCAGCCGCTATATATGCTCTCAATTTTCAATATGCAGTATCTTTGAAATTAATTCTCGTCTAATATGATCATGTCGAACGAGTGTTCCATTTTCCATTTGGTGAAACTTTTCTCATCGAAACAATTCATTCACTATAGTATTTTACTATGGAGAAATGATGCAATCATCTAAGAAACCCTGTCAGGCCCACTGTTAGGAGGCGACTGTTGATTGAAATCCTCGCAGGTGGGCAGCGGAAAACAGCGGGAAACTGGAGCTTTGGCAAAATGATACCTATAAGTGCCAGGGCAACAACGACACCTTGCATTCCGTACGTGATGAAGGGGAGAAGCTGCTCTCACAATGCCGGGGAGGGCAAGGCAACACTGACGATGGTGGATTTTCAACCGGTGCATCCTCCGGATTGGGTGTTGGCATCTTCTTATTGATATGCCTCTGTGTTTGCTGCTGCTGCTATAAAAAAAGGAGGAGGAGGTATGTTGTGCTTGCACCCTGGAAAAAGGTTAACATTGGTCCTTTAAAGGGTGTTGTAAAAAAATATTTAATTTTCAGACGTGATAACTGAATTAATACCTGGAGGGGCGAACAACATTTGTGATTTTCAAATTTTATCTTAATAGGATATTTTGAAGAATGATAAATGAAATTTCAAGATGGAACAATTCCAATTAACCATGAGTCGAACTTAGCAGTGAAAGGGTATGAGGAGCATGCCAACTGTACTGCTCTCCAAAACTCTTGCAACACTTTTTCATGAGCGGAATTCCCAGCACCTATGGTATCACCGGCGAGAACTTTTATATTTTTAGACAGCATAATTTTAACCTTCGTAAAGTGCTCATCCATGTCATGTTTTGTGCCATCGTTTGTCGTAAATTCACATCAGAATCCATCTTTTCGGGTTTTTCAGCGTGGAAAAATTAAAATCCGTTCCTGGGTGTTGAAAAGCCTACTTCTCCACTTGCCTGCCGAGCGGAAATCATGTCTTCTCTATGCACCTTAAGGAAATTACTCTCGTCAATGCCCTCCAAGCCTCTTACCAGTTGTTTTTATAATACAAAGCATCGGTACGAACTCGGTTACCACTCGGTTTTCAAGTAACTATTAACATTTCTACTCATAACTTAGAAATTCATGCCAATATAGCGGGGAATTGCCCAACAAAGACAGAGTTATTTTTCTGTCATGTCAGGGAGAAATTCCGAAATAAATGGTTTTAATACCAATGTTGAGGATATGGTACCTCAAACCCTGATGGTAATGGCAGCTTTCCCAGCTAAGAGAATAAGTATTCCATGGAACAATTTCTTTCGCCTTTGATGCCATAGGTAGCGATAATTTGTATCGTGAAAAAAACTAGCAAAAGTTTAGGAGAACATAGCAAGAAGTCTTCCTTAAGATGCATGGAAAAAAAGACATTTCGGATGGCGTGCAAGAAGAGAAGTAGACTTTTCAACAATCGGCTGGGGACTGATTTTTAGTGTTTTTCTCTGAAAAACCAAACCAGACGGATTCTGAAGCGAACTTTGGACAAGCAATGGCACAAAACACGACATTAATGGGATCTTTACAAAGGTAACAGTATGTTGTTAGAAGATATAACAATTTTCGCAGATGATACGACGGGTGCTGAGAATTTCGATCAGGAAAAAGTTCTGCAATACTTTTGGAGGCAGCATATAATCGAACGTCGCAGCAAAAGCGTTAAGTGAACTGCTTGTACCTTTACCCGCGAAAACAATTTTCAATAGGTCCCTTTTTAAAATCCAATGTGCTGTACTTCGTTGCGAAGAGCTTTGGACATTTAGATGCCTTTGCCTTTTTACCTACGCTATCCCACGCGATTCTAACTCCATCCCTAAATGGGGTATTAGGCGTTCTTCTTTTATGCTATTCAAAGAGGCATATTTGGCTGCATAGGACCTTTAAAATATACCTCATCTTTAAAATAGAGAAAATATGGAAAGTTATTTTTTTATATTACAGAATTATAGCGACTACTACAGTGTTATCCCCACCACCGGCCAGCAACAACATCAACGTCAATATTGAGAACAACAGCAATGCAGGCAGTGGGCACATGTGACCATCTGACCCCAAATGATTCCATTTTTCCAAAACGATGACTACAATAAATGTTCTACAGTGCAACTTATCTGCTTTGATTTTTTCTCGGTTTCTATTCGTATGATGCTACTGCTTACGGGTCTCACTCATGAGGCTCAAAATAGTTCCTTTTCCATTTTCTGGTGCAGTGAGATACAAAAGTATAACTTTGTTTAAATCAATGAAAGACATTCGGAAGGATTTCATTCAGGATCCACCATGGAATGCATTAGAGAATATATGAAAACGCCGGTTTTATTTAATGGCGACTGCATGCAAAAGAATAAAGGCTTTCCTTCCATTTTAAAGCAGAGAACACTGTACCTCACTGAGAATTGTATAGTTTTCATCTATTTGCACAAGCTCTATGGTGTGTCAGAACCTGCATACTATCGCTAGGAGTATGAATCCTGAAGTTTACCCACCTGTCATGGACATTAGATAACTTTTCTTCGACCAATATGGATTATTAAAAAACGAAAGAAAGAAGAAACGAAGGGAAGGAAGCAGTCGTTCAAGCGAACGGTTGCGTAAAATTGAAGCGAAAGAAACAAGACACTGGAAAAGGAAGAGGCACAGAGAATGAAAGCGAAGGAATCGAAAACGATCTGGAGCACTGGCTGTAGTCTGTCGTCTCTTCCCAGGACGGCGTCTGGAAGCTGGCCGTGGTCGCGGTCGTTCACGCCGTCGATTTCGGTATGAAAACTCAGTGTGGAGTCAAGTTTGGCACGTCGTTCGATCAGTTTCGATTATTGGGGAAAAGAGGAGTATTTCTTCGCACACATTATTTCGGGATGCTGCAGTCAATCATTGAAAGAAATTTGTACGAAATCGAGTAATAGGGTAAACACCCCAGTTTTTGGCCACGCTCATACGACTCCCATAGGAAGTGGACACCCTGTGCGCTCACCGGGAAACACTAGTAATAGGTCCTCGTACGGGAAGATGCTGATTGAATGCTTGAAAACGGTCATATTAACTAATTATGCTGAATTTAAGCCTCACTGGCCAACAACTGGAGACGGGCCAGAAACCGGGATGCTTACCCTATGTACTCACATGTCGCCTGAAGCTGCATGCTTTACTTATTGACATCCTCTCCATTGTTTGCTTGGATTTATCAGGGCCTCTTGATCCCCTGTTGGAGAGACTCGGGCCCCTCCGATATTTCCTCTCAAATCCTTTGTTCTGATCCCAGAATTTTGAACGATGTATTTGCGGAACAGAGACAAAGCTCAAAGGACGGTGAAATGCGTCTGACTGGTGTATTTGTGGGTAAAGTATTTGTGACGTCACCAAGGGAGATTAGAGCTCTACCTCCCTTCTGTATCGCCTTCTATGTACTTTGAAAAGTGATTAAATTTACCAGCGAGTTTGTTTGCCAGAAGGGCAAACAATCTCACTATGGACGCGCTTTCATCGCTCTATGACCGAAGGAATTTAATAATGCAATATTGACATTTGTTTTTGAAGCTCACCCCTAAACATAACGTCAAACCTCTTGGTTAATGGTTTTGGCAATTCTCGATCCTTCGGCGCTCCCCTCTTAAAAATTACTAGCCGACCCGTGGAAGACTTCCACGAACTCTTCGGCAAGGAATCCCAAGTTCATTCGACGGCCCTAAAACTCAGTGGCCCTCTCATCCCGAGAGGCAGAAGCCCCTCTTTCCTATTCTTTGCGTTTCCCCACCGACAACCCTTGGAGTCTCCTTTCATGCCACCGATGGCTTCCTCGCCGGGGTGAGATCTTCGCCCTTACATTACGCCTTACCCTTACATGTCCAATGGATTTATTTTGGATCAAAATTGCAACTTCGGATGGTTCTAATATTGAATCCATCAACCTTGAAAAATAATACATAAGGATTGTATGTTGGACGAGAAAAACGTGTAATTTAGAGCATTGAGTAAGTGGCTGAAATGACGCAAATATTGCCGCATCCAGCATTCAAAAAGGCCACTTGAAGTATAATTGAACAATCTCATGCGTGTACCTGACATGGTAGAGTTGTCACAAGACATGGAATATTCAAGAAAAATAGAGTTTCGATATATATCACATATTTCACATTTTCAAACTAATAAATCGAGTGATTGGAAGACTTGTTCAGATCTAAGGCATCTATCGTACTGGTGAGCGAAAGTGTCTGTGTGAAGCAGCTTCAGTATGACCCCTGACCCATAAACTTTAAACTTAAACGTTTAGGTATCATCAACAAACTCCGTCTTGGGCACCTTGGGTCATCAGGGTCATCTTCGTCTAAAAAAAACGGATTTTTTGCTTTTAGGGGGTTATCAAGTCCCCTAGTTCGTCAGTTGAGTTGGTTTTTGATGGAATATTTCCCCATTGATACATCGGAGATCAAATGTGGACATTTTATGGCCATTCTTTCGGGCGAGGAACTCCTTCCCCGCCGATCTGATCAGAGAGAAACCGGCATCGATGGAAAAATTAAAATCTCGCAAAGTTCCGGGTCACATTTTCCTCGTGTTCAATTTCTTCGTTTCTGCCTTCGGTACTTTCGCTCGGCAGGGGCTCACGGTTTTCCTCTTTTAACGTGCAACTCATCGGTGCACCTCACTTATTTACCATCATCCGTCCTTAATTACTTACTTCTGCCCAATTCCACTACAGTCGCCAATTCCTGTTTGCATACCATGCTGGTTTAAAAAGAATTTCCTAATCCGGTCTTCTAAAATTCTTTGAGAAAGGCAAAAGATCGTATCTGCCATTTTCCTCTTCGTCAAGATTTGCATTCGAGTCTACTTTAAGGCCGAATAGGCGTGATGATCCTCCGAAAAGGATGCAAGAAAGTGAAATATTCTTTGGTGGCTATCTTGCCGATGTGAGAGCATCCGTATCGAAATCTTCCACGCGAACAGGTTCGTACATAGAAAGAATTAGTCGTCTCTTCTTTTTTTTTCTGGGGGTGGAAGGCAGTGGAAGTGGGAAATCCCACAAGGGCGAAGAAATTCTTTGACGCCGGCCGATAAGGATCGAGGAAGACGGAGCTCTCTTCACGTGTCCTTGTCTTCAATTGCTTAGGATAAGTCAGCCTTTATTTGGTGCAACCAAACCATTGTAATGAATCTCTATGGCGCAAACTTTTGGCACGCCTACAATGAAATCGCGCTCGAAGTTTTGAACATACTCTTGAAAATTCGTAAACGAACTCTCTTAAACACGTAACCATTGAGTAACCAGAACTAAATGTTAGAAAAGTACCAATTTCCTACCTTTTAAATCAAAGCTACTTCTAACGTAACAAAGTGAATATTATCCAAACGCTATGTCTTTGAAAAGTTATCCTCGATGCCTTTGTCACATTTAGACATTTGAAAGTCATGGCAGTTCACGTAACACCGGGTCGTTCAATGCATATGGAATTAAACTTTTATTAACGAAATTGCCTTCATTCCGTGAGCGTTCCGTGTAGTTAGGGATTTCTACACTCTTAGAAAATGCCGAGCGTTTGGGGAGTGAAAAGTGAGCACACCGTGAGCCTTTCGAATTTACTCTTTTATTACTCACCAAATGCTCCCTCATCATCTCTCGCATTAAAGCGAACACCTTGAAGTTCGCTGGGTTACTTGATGGAGATAAGGCTCTCGCTTTTCGAACAGTACACAAAAGTTCCCTTCCCTCTTTCCTTGGAATCGTCCCTCGCAGGATTGTTTAGTACCTTACCATATGTCTCGCCTAGTCTCATTATAGGAATCAATAAACACGGAAATTTCATCATTTGTTATCCACATATTCAAGACATATTCATAGATTCCATGCCATAAACAAGCTCATATTCCTATTGAGAACCCCCTAGGAACGCGGGTGATTTTATCCGCATAGGAGATCTAGAATGTGTAGAGAGTGTCCGTGAACTTCATTCCCTCATACCTCAATTAAATGAAGTGATAAGGACTGATATCCTAGGTAGGAGGTAGTCCACCCTCTGACGTGTAACGTACAGTCAGGGGTAGGTCAAGGTCTCCATCTCGTGGCAAGGAGGTCTATCTCTCTAAATGCAGAATTTCAGAATTGCAGAATGACGTGCTCTTTTGTCACTGCTTCCATCATCTTCAGTCCTTTGAAAGCGCTCACGAACGACGCAAGGAAGCCGACGAGGGCGAACATTCCAAGTGAAAATATTGAAGCAATAATTTTTCAATGTTGAACAGCAACTTGCAACATAGAGCAACATAGGCAACATTTCGAAAACGTTTCATCAACATACTGTGTTACTTATGTTAATCCACGTGGCACCACAGCCCGTCAATGGAGAGTGCTGCACATGAAGCAAAAAAAAGAAATCCCAACTTCTACATAGGGTTGTAGTTCGAAAGCAGCATACCCCGAGGAGCACACCTTCCAGTCCCAGCGAGAATGCATGCCACTGCAATCTCCAACATTCCTTTTCGCTGTCGGCGCGCAGACGCGAGACCGCAACCACGCGAAATGAACCGCCTGAGTCCCTGTGTGGGAGTCCCAGTCTCAGAAACACGAACATCGTACATCAGCTCATACGAATGGAGGAAGACAGGAAACATGAAGCAAACAGTCACGATTTCCAAATCGATTTTTTTTTACTACATGCTCCCGGTCCCATCGATTTTATTTTTAATTGTTTGCCAATAACCAATGCGACTGCGATGCGGGAAAACAATACAACCTCTGAAGAACTCTCGCCCTCGTCGGCTTCCTTGCGTCGTTCGTGAGCGCTTTCAAAGGACTGAAGATGATGGAAGCAGTGACAAAAGAGCACGTCATTCTGCAATTCTGAAATTCTGCATTTAGAGAGATAGACCTCCTCGAGGAAACTGCGGTGATGGACTTTTTTTGCGGTGCTCGCTTGAACGGAAGTGGCGACGAGCTGACTAATCGCACTGTATTTCATCATGGACGTTGAAAATCCCTGAATTCGCGGCAGCAGGCGAGAGGGACTGGAGTGAACATGCAAACGTTCTCTTGCGAGTACAAGGGCAACTCTCGTCTCCTCGTTCATCCGAGAGATGGCGAGAAGAGAGCGAATCTCGATTTACAGTGAAAGTTGCCTCCCCTCCCTTTCGTGAGGCAGATTTGCAAATTTTATTTCTCAAATCCGCGCTCTCGGATGATAAGGAAGAGTTCCGTGGAAACCCCAAGTTTATATCTCGAAGCGTTTGGCCTAAACAGCTGTCACATACACAGAAGCACACAAACGTACAAACACAAAATTGTCGCCCGGCCTAGTTTGCGGTCAGGATCGCGCATGCTGCATGTTCCAGACGTCGGTTGCTTAGCAACCGAGATCCTCCGGTTTGTACAACCTCTCTATGGAAATTGAGACTTCCGGTGAAGAGAAAGAGCAACAGGACATTTTGTCAGAATTAATTTGTGTCAGTCTAACGAAACTTCAACATAGGAGAAACACAAAGCTCACTGAATGAGTAGCATGATTATAAGAAAAGTACTTATAGATGCGGGTCTTTTGCATTATCGGTAGAGCTGCCGGAAGAAACGGGCAGCGCGAATTCCAACCCCCTACTATCGTTCTATTTAGCGCCCTTACTGCAAGCTGCTGACGTGTGAGTCATGGGAAGTGAGCCAGTCCAGCGCCTCGCAGAGACTAGCTCATGCGCTTTTAAAGCCTTGAGGCCGGTCTCCTCTGCCTCGTACACAATGGCATCGAGTGTGTTAAGAGATACCCCTATGACTTGTCTATGGGGTAGAGAAGGTCACTCGGCTTGGGCCTCCAAGAGTTGATTCTCTGCAGAATCAACTGCGAGAAACCGGAATCGGCTCGTCTTCCATTTCATGACAGTTCACTCAATGATCCTGAAATATTTTACATTTAAATTTGAGGTGTTTCATAATTTTAGATATTCCATAATCTTTTGCGAAAATTTGTGTTTAATAATATTTGGCGTCGGAGGCCAGACCTCCCTTGGCGCCTCTGACGAGCCGCCACTTCTCCAGATGTCGTCAATGAGAGGATTCGAGAGAAGTACCATCAGAATACAAATTAATGGTACTCATCTACTGCTCTGTGTGTCCCCATCCATATCCTTTCTTTATCTAAAACAAAATTCACCTCATTCGCAGCCTAAGGTTCCTACTTCCCTTTTCATGCAGCAAAAAGTTCAACTTATGGGCATCCAATCTAACACTTTAGGTAATTGCACCGTCAATTGGGTAGGCAGAAAATCGGAAATTCTGTTGTTTAATTGATACATGGACACCTCCGGCTTAAAATAAGACGATTTTTTCACAATTATTAAAGCTACATTTTTCGAATTTTGGCCAGGTTTTGACGAATTCCGAACCACTGTGCGCGGATGTGTTCGATGCCGTCCGGTAGGGGCTCCACGAAGGACGTCGTGTTCTCGCACAGCAGCGCCGTCCCATTCTGAGAGCAGTTGTCTTCCTCAGGGTTGGCTGCCGCTTGGACGAAGACTTGCAGGAAGATTTGGCAGGGGGAGGGCCAAGTCCGTCACCACGGCTCTAGGCACGCAAACTTTCATCTCTACAGCATCAGCTGTGCCTGGAAAGCGGAAAATGTCAGCTCAGACCATCTGCTAACCACTTACAGGCAGCAGGCTTGAGATCACGACAGGCACATTTTGGATTTGTCCTGCAAGATCAGAACAGGCAACTTTTCCAGTGGTATCATTGGCATAGGGTATGCTCTCAAATGCGTTGGAGAACAGTCCTTTCGATGATAAGTCCCGGTTTCTTCCGTGAGGTACTGATAGTCGCAATAGGATAAGGTATTCTCACAATGCGTCTCTTTCTTGAGTGAATATATATTAGATAAAGATGTCGAGCCAAGGCGCCGACCTTGAGCCACAGCATGCAAGGCTAGCGTAATCATGACAAGTTGAAGAGGCAACTGCTCTTTATTTCTTACTGTGACTTCCCTCCCTCTCTAAACACACGGCCGTAATCTGCTTTCGGCTTGCTGTTATATGTCGATCATGATTCATAGTCTATGTCCTGTCGTCAGACACTAAGCATTAGGATGATTTTTGGAAACAGTTACTTAATTTTATATGTATTCTTCCCGAGAATCACCGACTGAAGCCGCGCAGATCACCGGTTGTCCGCAGATCACCGGTTGAGAAACACTGTCCTGTCTATTTTGTATCTATGCCCGCTCTTCGAATGCGTGAAGTCCGCTTTCCATATTAGAGACTTTCAGAAAACTGCACAAACGCGCGCAGAATCTGCAACTGTGATGGAGTTCCTGGTCTACGTTCCAACGAATTAGGCGGTGGTTTTAAGGTGTCTCTCTTTTGCACAGTTAAATTTATGTCATGCCATGGCGTTTCTGAATCGCAAATTGCTCCTTTTGTCTTTTTGAAAAATGAGCTCGAAAAATAGAGGCTAGGTCTGAAATGAAGCCGTTTTTCATATTTCATATTTATCGTTCTCATATATTTTCCATAACAATATTCTTCATTCCAAAAACCGGCACACAATTCCAAAGAAAGAAAGGGGTTGAAAAAAGAAAGGGCCTCAACCGAAGAAAGCATGGGATATGAAAGGGTTGTCACAACTGTCGCCAAAAGCGCATGAGACCATCTTCGTCAACGACAAGGTTTGACATCGATCCCTTCATTTCCGTGGACTCTCATTACTACTATTTAAAAAATGTTCCGCATGAGAACCTTGAGATTGTTCTCCGCTTTCAAAGTGATTTCAGGTAATTCAGCAATCATTTAAAGGGGTTTACCTTCCCGATCATATAATAATACGACCCATTAAAAAACCAATAATTAGATCTAGAACCTTTAAGAATGAGGTTCGAAATCAGGCAATATCATTAGCAACTTGAAATTTGTGTTCGTCTTTCACTCCTTGGAGAAGTCGTGTGAATATCCCCGCTCATACCATATATTATCTTCCTTCCAAAGCCCACAGTTCCTTGTGGTTCCATGCATCAATCTGGGCCGGCTCATGTTCACTTGATTCCATAAAGGTTCATGACAGAGCATAAAATGGCTCCTATACCATATATTTTCCTGTGTTCGTCGGAGATAGCCATAGGATTCGGTCGAAAATGCGTAGGATGCAACGATGGAAGCCATTAATCCGATGGGAATCTCCCCCCCCCCCCCCCCCACCC